CCCTCCCCTCCCCTTCCTCACCTGAGGATATTCTGTCCATGGCTTTTCAGAGAGAGAATGGAAGGGAGGCAGGAAGGGAGGAGGGGGGAGAGAGAGGTGAGAGAGACACATTGATTGGTTACCTCCCACATGCGCCCAGGTTGGGGTGTGGAGTGAACCTGCAACCCAGATATAAGCCCTTGGCCAGGAATCGAACTCCCGACCCTTTGGTGCGCAGGCCGATGCTCTAATCATTTAGCACACTAGCCAGGGCTAGCCTCAGATTTCTTATTCATGCACTGAAGAGAAGCTACTCAAATGACCCATCTACAAGACCTCTTTGGCACTGGTGATAGAAGATTCTAGATGTGAGAGCACAAAGGACTAGGGCCCAAAAGCATCTTGAGAGAAGGTCTTGGGAGGAAGGAGCTTCAGGATTTTTTGCAGTTCATAATTGTCATGTAATGGGGTGGCAGTTAGTGTGAGTTATCAGTCAGTTTCTGCCCTTTGGTTGGCATCCTTCTCACTTGGGAGGAGAAAGCAGATACCTCTAGCTTTGCTAGGGCAAGCATCAGCAGGGCTGAGAGCCAAAAGGGGATTTCTATTTTTATTATTATTAAAAAATATTTTTATTGATTTCAGAGAGGAAGGGAGAAGAGAAAGAGAGATAGAAATATCAATGATGAGAGAGAATATTGATCGGCTGCCTCTTGCATGCCCTCTACAAGGGATAGAGTCTGAAACCAGGACATGTGACCTCTTGGTTCATAGGTCTACGCTCAACCACTGAGCCATGCCCGGCCAGGCTGGAAGGAGATTTCTAAAGGTAGAGGAAATCTCCCACTCAGGGAGCTGGCAGGCTCTGAGCTTAGAGAAGGATACATTTCTAGAATGCCCATCAGGACATTCAGAGTCATCAAGGGGGAGGGAAAGAGTGCTCTGCTCATGTAGTATAAAATAAATTCTGCTTTTCTGGAGGACTATTTGGCTATATCTAGAGAAATCACAAATGTTGACAGCCCTTGATTCACCTATAGGTCTGAACCCTGTGGGGTATATTTATAAACATCATTTGTATAAGGAAATTGATTATAACATTTTTAATAATTTCAAAACAACAATGAAACAGGAAACAAATTGTCCAACTATAGAGAGGTGTGGTGCAATTCTGGTCCAGCCTCTCAATGGACTCCTTGGTGATGGTTTAGAAGAATGAATGGATGGATCTCTGTGTGCTGTTGTGGGACAATCCTTAAGATATACATGAATGAGCAAGGTAGAGGACTTAGCAAACAATGGCCCCAGGCCAAATCCGGTTTTGTGGCCTGTTTTTTTTTTTTCTTTACATTTAAAAAAAATTGATTTCAGAGAGGAAGGGAGAGGGAGAGACAGAAACACCAATGACGAGAGAGAATCATTGATTGCTGCCTCTTGCACGCCCCCTACTGGGGATCGAGCCCGCACCCTGGGCATGTGCCTGACTGGGAATTGAACCATGACCTCTTGGTTCATGGGTCATTTTTGTATGGCCTGTGAACTAAGAATGATTTTCACATATTTAAATGGTTAGAAAAATCAAAA